ATCAAGCGTCATCACGCCAAACCAAAGGTACCACGACCGCCTCTTGAGCCTGAATGGGCACGTACTTGAATGGTAAATATTGTAAGAAGCACAAGGTCACCAGATGTCTAGTCCAACACATCGTGCAAGGGATGCATGCAGACATACATTTGTCTTCTTTGGATTTCAGTCACACATTTCGTCGTCAGGGAACTCGGAACCCAAGCCCAACAACTTCTTCGCAAGACCTGACATCACCAGATCGTGATATTCGGGCTCTCTTATCCTGTCTCAACTCCCACAACGCTTCTCGCACGAACCAAAAATAGACGAACATCTGGTGGCACATGCTTGCACCAACGAAACAGCTCAAGAAATGAGTTGTGAGTTCAGATGAGAGCCCTGCCCGGCATTGGTCAAAAAAGCTTGCTGCCTGCACACGCCACAGACAGTCTGAACGCGAAGGAAGGGTTCACCTCACAAAGGCGCCTTCTGCAGCATCTGACAGCGAACAACACGTCTCCGCGTCTGCAGATGGACCTGACCGGTGAGCGGTCACAGGCGAGCACACGAACACGACACGCATTCGCGAGGTCGAAGGGTCGGACTGCGGCTTCGTTGCACTTCTTCACGTCATCAAAGTTGAGGGTCAACCTTCTGCCCAGATGCTGAGTGCAATCACAGAGGACCCCCGACTCCCTGCAAGTCACTGGCGTAAAATACGTGCTAACCGGCGGATTGTACCTTGAGGCTCAGGAACTGAGGAGACAAAGTCTCTGCTCACACGCTTGTAGCGCACGCGATAGCCTCTCCTGGCCGCATGCCAGGCTTGTGCGCATTCATTCCAATCCTGATCGACAAGATCATTCAGAGCCATTTTAACCGTGCTGGTGATCAATCTGTTCGAGGAATGTGCCGCTTTGCTGGGGCGATGGCTGAAGCGTTCTGGGATCACTCCTGTCAATCAGCGACTGCACCTGTTCGCGCGAAAACAGGCACCCATCCGGCTCCACACTCACTCGAAGAGACCGCCGGCCTGCCAAATCGGCCAAACAGTCGTCACCTACTTAGAACAGGGAAGCTCAGGTCAGGCGGATTCCATAATGCGAGACCTAGGGCCTAGGGATCCTTCGTCCCATCTCAATGCAAGTGTGCAACGGGCTGAGACCACGGCGGTGCTTGAGCTGTCGCTGCCAACATCAGGTTCAGCCTTGCAGCAAAACCCTAACGAAAAGCTCGGCCACCAAGTCTGAATGCAATCTCGGCGGCCAGGATTAGCCAAGCGGGATCCAGCAGCAACTGCCGCTTCGCCCTCGGAATGGAGGCTCTTAGTGTCAAGGAGTTTCACAAGAACCTCTTGCCGTTGCTCAGGTCTACGCTTTTTCGTGGCCATGCTACAGGAGATGCCTGGCGTCTGTAAGGCACAAGACAAGACAGACTCCATCATACAATCATCTTGTCACACGATTTTCGATTCAAGCACGAGAGGGCACGACCCCAGATCTATGTGTCACTCTCTGGTGACTCCTACGAACAAAGAAATGCCAGCGATATCTTCAAGATAGGTGGCATTCTGCGAAGCACGACAGTTCCGTAGCAAGAGCAGGACAAGCCCATGTGAACTCGACCCCGGCTCAATCAAAGAGCAGAAGGCTAATCAAGCGGAACTGGTGCAACCGGCCTACGAATCGGCAACACCTTTGGAGAGCTTTAGCGCAATGCAAAGGAATGGCTGCATGCGCCTCCTCTCTGTTGCGATGATACTGCTACTAGAACTTCTGTTCAATGTTGGGTGATCTTCAACCAAGCTCGCTAATTTGTCCAGCTTGCTTTGACTGGACCCGGGAAGCTGCCGGACTGCAAATTCCCAATTCGTGCAAGCAAAAATCGCCCACCTTGCGCCCAAATGTGCAGGTGGTGACTTTGCCGACTAATTTGGTCCGCTGTGTGCAACTCGCACGGACTGAAATGCTGAAAGCCACAGGCTTTTCTACGCATGCAATACAGGCAGACTGGAACACCTCTTCCAGTATGCATTCGCCGAATGGCCGCACCTTGTTCGTCGAGTCAGGGGGTTTGCCGCTTGCACATGCAACACAGCATGTGTAGACAAAACCCGAATCCATTGCGCGAAATGCTTCCGTGCTTGGGCACATATCGATGTGCTTGTTCTCGTGGCTGTGCCTTGCCAATACCCATAGTTTGTGAGCACTCCGACAACAGGGAGGGCCCACCACGGGGAGACGAGATCAGGTGGAAGCAAGTCTCCGAACGCAACAAATTCTGGGTCACAGGCTGCAGATCTCTCGCGTGACGATATGCATTTGCGACCTCGTTCCTCGGACCAAGAATTGCTTCAGCGTCGCAACCGCATGCTTCGGCAAAGTCTCTGGATCTATGCTCCTTTTATTGGCATGGAAAGAAGGACACAGACGAACTCATAGTGCATGTAAGGTATTTTGATGGAATCCCAAGGGGTGAAGGCATGCGAAAGAATCACAGATCGGAAGGGTACTGTACATAAACATGCCCCTGTGGTTGATCAGTGAGGTGCTTCGGCTCGTGCCTTCAAAAAGGGTTGCAGGATGGCAGGTGCGTGCAGAAGAACTGATGAAAAATGAGGTCTTCTCCGCATGTTCACCATTGTCCCAACGAAAAAACACAAAGTGCCAGAATCTGCTGGGTAGCTTGAATGCCGTGTCTGCGCGCCTGGCTTTCTCTGTTCTCCGATCTGCCGTATCTTGCATTTCCAAGTAATGCCTGTGATCACACTCCTTGGCAAAACCATCTTGCGCACGCCCAATACTCAACTGCCGGCAAGCGCAAGCCATACACGCACTTGGAAGCCGTCAAGCTACCACGTTCTTCTTCAGCTGATCCTTCGCACGAGCCTGGGCTCAGACGAAGCTCACCGGGCCTTTGGTCATGATTGGGAATGTCTACTGCGGCGGCCCAATGTCCGCACGGCCATGACAAGTTGCCTTCAGGTGGTCTTGCTTCCGCTGCTCCGTCAGCAGCCGATCCTGACGCCGAAAGACTTCCCTGTTGAGGCCAGAGACTTGGTCCTTAGCTCAAAGGCACAAAGTGTGTCTTATTGACTTAGACTAAGCCGCAGTAAGTATCGCCGACCCACGCCAGAACTAAGGAACTGCGGCAATGGATCTGCATTCTGCTTTGCTTCGAGGGCATCTTGACTGCTCAGCTGAAACTGCTGCTTCGTTGCAATCCTTGGCCGCCAATTTCAACTTGACAACGGTTTCGAGTCATCACAGCCTCTTCACCTCGTCGTGGCCATAGTGCCGCTCAGGTGAGATACGTACCGTGCAACTCTCAACAGTGCAGACTCGGACTCTCTTGCAGTTCCTTTCGTAATCGCCGTTCTGCTTCCTGGCACAGCAAGAAGCAGCAGATGTCATTTCGACCGAGCGCAGAAGTAGTTCTAAAGAGACCAGAAGCAGCCTTCTTTTCCTTCTTCTTGGACTCCAGCCTGGCGGCTACCTCTATGAGCACATCCTCTCTGTGCCTGTCTTTCCTCATCTTCCCGAACACAAGTCGCGAATATGACTGCTTCCTGGACAACACAAAGCTCCCGTGCCGGCACCTTCGCCTGGTTCTTTAGAGCAGGAGTTTTATGTAGACAAACCTCAAACTCAACCCACGGGACAAGTCTGCCGCAGATCCGTACAAGCATCTTGGCTTCCTCAGCCACCTTTTGCTTTCCTGGGAGACTCCCAAGTCACAGCTGAAACTGACATTCATCACGACTCCTTGCAGAAAAGGATCTGGCATGATCTCTGCTCTCCAGCAAGTGCTCTTTTGCTTGCTCTCGAACCCGCGCTAACAGTTGCACCTTCTCAGTCAGAATGCTCTCCTTCTCGGCCTGCCGAAAGGGAGCAGGCCAGCGCTTTCCCCAGCTAGCTCCGGTGTGGGGCGAGGGGGGCGGGCGTGTGCGAAGAGGGGTCGGGGCCGTTGGAGCTACAGTCAGAGAGAGGGCCGGTTCTTCACACCATCTGCAGGTTTTCCCAGGACCTGGAGTGAGAATCGTCGTCCTCCTTGCACCAAGTTGCATGTTTCACTTACCTAAATCGCAGGTTTGTGACGTCATTTAGCAGGTGTACATCATAGTACTGTACCTACCTCTGCCTCTTGCCAGTTCCGGTGTTTGTTTCCAAACACGATCCCAGTTCATCCGCACAGACTCTTGTGGATTGGGGAACTGGATGTTGTGACAGGCTTTTTTGCTCGTAATGACCAATGAATCTGTTGCAGCTTGATCTTGGTACTTCATGCAAACGCTTACAGAACGCCCGCTTCACAACTCAATTGACCCTTGTCCGAGTGTAAGCGCCGAAATTGACCCTAAGTTGTAAGGCATGACTGATGACTGGTAATGTGATTCCGCAGTTCAACAGCTTGTCTGGCCCCAGTCGCTCAGCAGAGCATGCGCGGTCTGCTTGTGCATGTCTACTAATTCTAGCTTGACTGAAAGAGAAAATGTTGAAAGGACACACAAGAGCGAGAGAGAGAGAGAGAGAGCGAGAGAGAGATATAGAGAGAGAGAGATATAGAGAGAGAGAGAGATATAGACAGATAGATAGATAGATAGATAGATAGATAGATATTTTGGCTGCGCCTCCCCCCAATGGTATCCCCTATGGCGAGGGGCCTTGAGCTTGCGTGTGGAATGGTTGGGTGGTTTGGTTCAGGCTTGGGGTCCCTCTTCCCCCTGTGGCGTGGTTTCGGGGTTTAGGGCTAAACTGTATGATATTGTTGAGAGCGGTCGCATGCAAGGCATCATGTCTTTTGTGTTTGGGTGAGTGTTGCAGCCAATAGTGCTGACATTCGTCTTTCTCGCTCTTTCGCTCCGCTTGCTCTGCGTCTCGCTGCTGCTTCAGCCAATTTGCTCGTTCTGTAAAGTCCCTGCCTCTTACACGGACATTCAGTGCAGGCTCAAACATAAACGCAGGACCTCTTTTAGGTCATCAGAGCCAGGTCAGCGTTTCAGCATCTTGCCGGTGCTACTACCAGCTTCCACCCGCACCTCCTCCACCGTCACAGGATCCGCCTCCAAAGCCACCAACACTTGATTCCACGCTGGGGCTGTGCTCCAGCCAGCTCGCCCCGTCCCAGCCAGCTCGATCAGCCAGCTCGTCCAGCCCCAGCCAGCTCCGATTGCAGCTTGAGTTTTGGTGCTCGAAGTGCTGCTGCCACAGCTCCTGTTGCTCGGACGCTCCGAGATCTTGGAACTGCCGGTCTAAAGCTTCTCGGAGCTGCCGAACTGTATCTGCCGAGGCCAAGTCGAGAACAACCGGAGCTGTCCCTGTCGATCTCAAACGAGGACGGTCGGCTCTGCATAGAGGGCAGGTGCTGGAGTGGCTTAACCATTTCGACACGCAACGCTCATGAGCGAGATGCCCGCACCTTAGCAGCTCGACATCGCCAACCACGCCTGTCTGCCTGTTGGGGTCGAGAAAATCCTTGGCACGTAGGGCCGTGTCGCTCAAGCAATCCAGACAAACGGGACAGACAGTGGTCTCGAGGTTCTCACTGGATGATCTTGCATGCAGGGTATCCACAAGCCGTTTCAAGCGGCTTGCTCGTTCAGCGTATGCTTGCTTTCGTTTGCGGCATCGACGCCACACAATCCAAGCCCAAATGAAAAGGGCCACGGTCACACCTAGAGCAATCGGCCTCAGTCGGCGCCAGACTTGCCGCCACCAGATGGCATTGACAATTCCGCGTGCCACCGTTTCAACCGCCGCATCCACGTCGCCATGTTTTAGACATCTGCTAGCATCGCCCAATATGTTCTGGCAGGCATCATCCGGCAGAAGCGTTCGTATTCCTCGCCCTGTCACGATGCGATGCTCCCGCTGCTGTAGTGCGAGAACGTACAGCACTCCGTCGTGGACCGTTCTGCTGCCGATTCCCCAGAAATCGAAGAGCTCCTTGCAGAACTTCTCGAAATTTGGCTGCAAAGTTCGCGATATTACTGCAAATGCGACTTCATGAGTCGTGCCTTGCAAGATTTTGTCAACGGCAACCCGAGCGGCAGCCGCAAGCAAGCTTTCTGGATCTGCAATGCTGGAGGACGAAAGCCGAGGGCTGGGAATACTTCTTGCTGTGTGGCCAGGCATGCTGGAGGGTGTTGAGCCCAAACTGACATGCTCTCGAACTCCTACGCTGGTCTACGGTCCTGTCCCAAGAAGCCCTGCCTTCTTGGCCAACTGCCTTTCGCGCTTCGCCTCCACGCGCCTCAAACGGTCCAAGCGGTAGTCGTGCCAAGTCTGGCCCCACTCAAGTGGGTGGTGGTCAAATTTATGGTCCCTTTTGGGTCCTTGTTATAATACGGCACCTATTATTTAGGGTACCCAAAAGGGACCATAATTTTGCCAACTACCCAAGTGAAGACCCAACTTTGAAAGCCATAGCCTGGCCCTCCCGTGCTGGTGCCTCTCGTGCTGCTCTTGCATGACAATCAGCCGTTCCTTCAGCTCAGCGAACGACATCTCCTCCAGGAATCCCTGCGCGGGGGCCTCAAACATAGAAGGCGCGGCACACTCTCGTGAACTGCAGAAATTTGTCCGATCATGATATTGTTGCCAGAACATACGATACTCACGGTTTCAGTGTTCATAGTCGTGTCATCTGACCGATGCCCGGACAGTCTCGCCTCAGCACGGTCGAAGACCTTCGCTGTCTCACGCGGAGCACGCTCCAAAGCTCGGATTTGACGAATGAGCTCTTTCTTGCCTTAAAAGCATATGCACTGGAGGTCTTCTTGCAGATGCGTCGGCGCAAGCAACAGCTACTGTTAGGAGTTGCATCGAGGCCACGCTCCATCTCGTAGTCCTCCTCCCTTTTCTTCTTGGCAAGATCAACCTCCTTTTCTCTGCGTCGCTGCCTTTCGAAACCGGTGCCGGCTAGGGCAACGCAGGAGCCGGAATACTCAACAACTGCTGCGAGGCCGCTCAGCATGCTCCTGCTTGATTACGAGAACCTCCTGCTCAGCAATGCGGGCCTGGCCGCACCGAGAAACATGACTGCATGAATGCAGATGCAGCTAGACAGAAAATTACATAGGTAGATCGGTTGATCGACCAGTAGATAACTAGACAAACAGTGTGGTAACCGGACAAGGCTGTGTGTGTGCACGTGTGCCTACACATGCATGGCTGTGTGCATGCATGTATGTACGGGTGCATGTGCGTATGTGTGCATGCAAATATGTACATCCATATCTAGATCTAAATCCATATCTATGTACATCTATGTGCACGTCTGTACATGTACGTATATGTACATGTAAACGGCGTGCATGTACATGTAGACGTTCATGTGCGTGAACAGGCGCAGGTCCGTTTATGTCTGTGTATATCTCTGTAACTAAGTACGTCCATGTGCCAGTGTATTTGTGCAAGCTTATGTATACGCATCCGCATGTGCACATACACATGCATATATACATGTGGATATGCATACATAGGTGTACGCACACATACATATACATATATATATATATATCAAGGAAAAACACATACATACACGTATGGCTGCGTGTGTGTGCCGGCATATGTATGTGTGAATATGAAGACATGTCTGTATGTATATACATATATGTTTGAATATGTGCTTATACTCTTGCTTCTACCCATAAGTATCTATGTGTGTATAAAAATACCCATTTAGAAATAAAAAAACTACAAAAATTGTGCATGTTAATAAATAAAGAATGTGTGCTATATATATATATATATATGCATGTATATACAATTTGTTTATATTTATGTTTATACAGTTATATATGTACATATTCATGTTATCTTATACATATTCATACATGTGTTTATGTGGGTCTGTATGTATAAGTACCCATCTATCCCTTATAATGTGCACGCAGCACAAACAAAATGCTGCAATATAACACACCACGACGCGACATACGGTCGGCGGAAAAATCGGTAACCGGAACGACTGAATCAGTAACCAGCGTGGCTGAATGAGAAACCAGCCATGATTCAGAAACCATCCATGACTCGGAAACCCGAACGGCGGATTCGGAAACCACGACGGCTGATTCAGAAACCAGACCGACTGATTCGGAAATCACACCATGATTCGGAGACCAGAACGGCTGAATCAGAAACCAGACACATCATTCGGAACCATAAGCCGTGATTCAGGAACGGTTGCCAGGCACATTGCGAATATACAGTTACGGTCGATTGCAGTTCGAAAGCTCTGTGCTCAGAACGCAAAAGACCATGGACGTCATCATGGTTGGGCCATGGATGCTGCCTGTCAGAATACATCAGACCATGGACGTCATCATAGTTGGGCGCTGAATGCTTTGTGCCCGCACGCATTAGACCATGGGCGTTTCATGCTTTGTGCTCACAATGCATTAGACCATGGACGGCACCATGCCCCCTCCCAAGGAGTCAGAATGCATCAGACCACGGTATCATGGTTGGGCCGTGGATGCTCTGTTGGGCCCTGGATGCTGTGCCCAGAATGCATTAGACCATGGACGGTATCATGCCCCCCGCCCAGCCCAGCCACCCCCCATGGAGTCAGAATGAATCAGACCGTGGTATCATGGTTGGGCCATGGATGCTGTGGGCTCGACCGTGGACGTCATCATGGCTGGCTCTTCTCATAACGCATGAGACCATGCCGTTATCATATTTGGGTGCTTCCAAGCTCCCGTGCCAGTTTCCAAACTCCGGTTTCTGATATGCGCTGGTTTCCGATGCGCCGGTTTCTGCTGCGCAGTTTCTGATTCGCGGCGGTTTCTGATGCGCGGCGATTTCTGATGCGCGGCAGTTTCTGATGCGCGTCTGGTTTCTGATGCGCAGCTTCTGATTCAAGACCCGGTCTCGAGATCTGATTTTGCAATGGATCCGCGACATACATTCTACAGCGCAATGTAACTTTAATTCGAATTTGGCTAGATTTCATTAGCTCACACTAGCTACAATGCAGTGTAGAAATAACCGCGATGGCGACCTGCACACACACAAGGGCAGAAGCATAGCTAGAATCCATTTTCGCCTTAGGTGTCTTCATGCTGCACATGGTGCTGTGCAAGGCCTGGCCTTCTCTCTGTCTTCAGTTGTCTGCTCCACAACTTTCTGCTTCTGCTCGAGATCAGCCTCATACCTCCATGATTCCGTGGTTGGTGCTGCTACGAACCGCAAGAATTTTCCGGCCCATTGAAGGAACGTCCATGCTCCGCTGCACACATCAAACCCAACCTCAACGAGCCAGCCCTGCAAACAAGTGCCTACATGTGGAGTTTCGAAGGCCGATGAATGTGTCGCGAAAGCGGTGGCAGCATGAAGGAGCCTTATGCCTTTAGCACCAGGTTTGGGGATTGATGGGATTGGAAAGATATGATGAAGGGGAAGGGATGCTCCAGAGAAAGGCGCATGCCTCACGGAACCCTTAGGTCAGATCAAAGTCCAGCTGAAAATGTGGCCGCTTCCACGGTCTTGTCTCCACGTAGTGTTGGGCACTATGTCTCTGAATCTTCGTCTCATCCTTACCCTTGAACACTCTGCATAAAACTACCCCTTCTCTTAAGAGATTCTTCCACCCTTATCATCATAGATACCTTCGGCATCAGCCTCAACAAATGCTGGGCCTCCAGCAAAAAAAAAAGGTTTTTAGATGTCCGTCGTTGAGTGTGAAGTGCAGACTGCAGCCGCCGCCACCAACCCCTCAAACCCTAAAAACCCCAGAAGCTTCAACACTCAGTCAAGGCTCTCTCGTTCTTTGGCTTCCTCAGTCAACGCAAACACCCAGCTTTCTGGAACCAACCAGTGCTTCAGTACAGCGCAACCTGTATGCACTTCCATCCAGGGCACGAGTTGTACTTGCAGGTCTTTCTTCCTGTGCAGTCAGCTCTTTCAGGCTTAAGCCGCCCGTGGTCCTTGCTGAAGTGTATCGTCTGCCAAGGTGCTGAAACTCGGCTTGGATGGATTTCATCCTTGTTGCTGCTTCATGCGCTTCTGCAGCGACATCTCTTGCCAGTTGCGTCTGGATGATGCGCTCCTTCGTGCGGGCCTCCTCCTCAAGAAAGTCCTTCCTTTGCATAGCATTTTAACTGTTAGTACCGAAGCTCTTCGTACATTACAGCACAAGCAGAACAACAGCTTGCCCAGGAGTACAAGTAATTGCTGTCCGGGGTCTTCCTCATGCGATCCTGCCACGCGTAAAACTCTGAGGCATCATGTAGTTCAGCCTCATACTGTTTGAGCAAGTCGTGCTCTGCCAGCATTGTCTGCCTCACTCGAGCATCCTCTCGAAGGACTTGTGTGGTGTTCTGCCGCACTGTGGCATCCTCTGCTGGCATGATGCGTTTCTTGGCCTTCGGCTGGAATGTGCACTCAGCCATGGTCTTCTTGTCTGCATCTTCTTGAAGCTGCATCCTGATCGTCTCATGGTCTCGCCGACCGGCGGTCTCAAAAATGAACTCATCGTCAACCGAATACTTCGCAGCAACTCTTGCCTTCTCTTCCTCACGCTGCCTTTTTCTCGCCTCCTCTATCGCCGCCAGGCTTGTCCGATTGATGTGCGCGGGTACAGGATGCGCAGTCAAGTCCTTGAGCACGGAACTCTCCGGCTCAGGGATCAACCTGCAGAGGTCAGACAAGTGCTGCACGAATTCGCGTTGCAGTTCGGAACTTCTGACAGCAGTGTCCTCGGCTTCACGGCCGTGAGATTGAATGGCTCGAACTCGGTGAGTTTCTTGTCAGACTTGACTGTGCCGGGTCCACGTTGACCACCAGACTTTGCAACACCCGTCGCTTTGAGCTGAATTTCCTCCATCATCGGTCTCAAATCCTCGGCTCGGCGATGAAGTTTTCCAAGCACGTCCTGACGAACATCTGTTCTAGTCTGAGACACAAGCATGGACTGGTCCTGCCCGAATGGCGTCCCCCCGAAGGCTCCTCGTCCAAATATTCTGGGTCATAGTGCTTCAGCCATTCCTGCATGACCCAATTGTTCAGCTCTTCTCGATCCAGAGCATACTGCCTGAAGCCGATGCTTGCAGGCCGCAGGTGCAACTTTCATTCACTTCAGTACAAGATCGGAGGCACATGAGCGCGAAGATGGCTGGAGGACTTCCATAGCCACAGAAAATGAACTGTCGGAAATCTTGCAAGCCCATTTCATCAAGCCTCGCATCAAAGGACGGCGGTGAGACGACAGCTAATTACCCACCATGCCAAACAATCATGACCCCAGGCCTGAAGAAGAGAAGGTAGGCCAGGACTTGGTACAAGCTCTGCTCTGATCTAACGGCGATGGCTGGGACCCTGAAGGCAAAGCTCGTGACGAAAAGCTTCAGAAGCTTGTCGTAGCGATGGCAGCCGTAGAATATTTGATGGATAAACTTGAGCTCCACGTCTCCAATCATGGGATCTTCCAAGAACTTGGCATCGTCCATGTAGGCATCTACAGTGGTGACTTTCGGGTTGAAAGTTTCCAGCAGCTTCACACATTTTTTCCTCAGCTCGGTTGTGCGAAGGCTGCGTAGCTCAGTCAGCACGACACCGCTGCCAATGAAAGCTGACAAGAGAGAACAGTCTGCCTAGATTCAGAAGCAGCGTGCATTTGGCGGAAGCCTCTTGTGGAATGCCAGCGCTTAGCAATTCCACCGGTTCTTGGGACATCTTGCACCAAGCATTGTTTGATAACAGTGTGCACGGCTGAACCCAAATGGCTGCAGAACATGGCGCCTGAGGTCTTCGATGGTCCGCGCACCATGCAGATCCCATAAAGGCCAGACAGGACCCGAAAGTACCCCTCCTGCATCCACAAGTCTGAACCGCAGGCGCATGCCGCAGGCCGTAGGACAGTCCCAGCTGGAGTTCCACATGAAAAATTCATGTCCATGTAGAGTGGGGTCTGCAGATGTCCAACTCCACCAGTTTTCTACTCTTTGGCTCCGGCCGTCTCCCTGCAAACCATTGCCGGCAGAACAAGTGTAGTTGTGGAGGTCCACAACCCCACCTTCCCGAAGGCGCCCCGAAGCCTCGTGTGACATCGACAGCAACGGATGTCACCGGACTCTGGAGCAGGGACCCACCTCCATCGGCAACTGAATTGGCAATGGCTCGTCACCTTGTACTGGGCGCAACACGGCAGTGCTGTCGGGAACCAGTACTCAACAGCAGGCAGGTGCAGCCAAGTTGCTGTACCGCAGCCACTGTGGACCTGTGGCTTCGAAGCCAAGACTTTGAGCAGCGGTTTTTACCATGGTTCGGTTGTCACTTCTCGCCTCCTGGTTGTTCCTCTGCCTTTGGCACGGCACCTGGGCCCGGGGTCCGTGTGCCCCGGCTCCGATCGAAAGCAGCAAGGAAACCACAATACTGAGGCATCTGCCAGGAAGGCTTCGCACCAGCCTCCTGCCAAGATCAAAATCAGGCCGCCGGCAGCAAAGCGCTGTATCGCCGGATGTCCTGCACATCAGGAGACTCCGCACCTGACCACGGGGTCACAGCAAACCCCAAAATGTGTGTCAATTCTCGGGCTCTAGCAGCATGCTGCGCGGCAACCACGATGCTGGGTCGTTGCATCGACGACCGCCTGAGCAGGAGCTAAGCCCGGCAATGGCTTTTCGAGCTTGTCTGCTCCCCACCTGCCCACACCAACAGCACCTGGCATGACAAGCGGAGAGATGCTTGCACTACACCAGCAAACAGTGCCCGCAAATCCATGCAGCTAGAAGGTCATTTCGCCTTCAGGCGGGGCCAGGCGCCTCAAATACACAGCTTTGTGTTTCCTGCCACATACAACCTTAGAAACTTTTGAACTTTTGATGACCCTCAAGTCTGCAGACGGGGCAAAGGCCGTGGGTCTGCAAAAAACTCCGGCAGGTGAGGCAAGCCCGCCTGAATGCGCCAACGCGCCAATTCAACATGAGTTCGAACCTCTCTTGCAAAATGTCCGCTATTCGTGTGAACCGCGAGGCCTTATGCTGCTCCCACTCCTCGCAGAAGACATCAACCTGAAGAAATTGCCAAGCGGTGCCGAAGGCAGTCTTTCCACCACTGCAACAGCGAGGGCAGCTGGGATCAACACGAGCCAAGCGCCAGCATCCTCCGCACACTGCGCCTGCGAAACATGCTTCTCGCCACGAGATGGCCGGGCATGCTTGCAAGATCGGCTCCTGCTGCACATGCTGCAATCACCGCTTGCCCTAAACCCTCCGAAGCCTCTTGAAGGACCTTGCGCACTTGGGAAGCGGCAGCCTGCATGGCAGTCGAGGCCACCCTGCCGTCAAGCACGGTCAAAGGTCAGAGACTAGAGCGCGACATTCTCTTGTGAACACAACAAGAAATAATCACTGGCCAGCTTCACTTGTGAGCAGCTGCATGAACGAAAGGCGGCATGGCTTCTGCCTGGAGAAGCTATGCACGCACACATGCATACACAGCGCATAGTGGCGCATCCAGCTTCTGGCAGTTGAACAGTTGGGTATTGTACGTGAACCACTTCCAGCAGCATGCGCACCTGAGAAGAGAGCCGTCTCTGCTGTTGCTTCAACAGACTCCTCCAAATCACTGGGCCAACGGCCAGTGCCATGTACGGCTTTGGCCTTGGATGGCCACCAGGCTCAACTTCAAAAATCGTAGTGGAGGGTTCCCCGTCCTCTGCACATCGCTAGGATGGGGACTGCCAATTCAGTCGGCCAGGGATTGCCTGCATGGCATCAGACAGGAGAGAAGAAACGCGGCCCGGTGCAAAGCCGTCCAAGCCTGGAAAAGCAAGGACAGGGGCTTCGGAAGTTCTGGAGTTCCCGAGGCCGCCTGGCGAATCTGGCGAAGCTCACGTTCCAAAGCTCCGGCTGCGGCTCTCTGAGCCTTGGAGCGGCTTTGTGAGCCCTTGGGCTCATGTTGCTTTGGGAGCAGCTGAGCCGTCCTTATCTTTACTTCGCTGGCGGGCTGGCGGACGTCGAAACCATGTCACATCATGAGGTTAAGCTATGCACGAAAGGAACTCATGCGAGAAGACTTTCCTGGCGACACGAGGAGACACATCACCGCTTAAGTCCGCAGCTGCATCGGCTAATCCCACACGACTTCACACAATCTCCCATCCCAGCTGTCCACCAGACGCTAGTCCACATAGGCATCTGTTCGACATAAAGCTCCCTCAACAGAGCCTGCAGCCTAGGGTGTCTGCGAACAGTAACTTCATCGGTGGCTTTGCAGCTGCTAATGTACGGAGCACGGAACCGTCTCCCAATGCCATGTGCTTGACACGTTATATCCTAAGCCGGCATGAGTCCTCTTCACGGCGCAGCAGTGCAGAACGGACACCGCTAGGAGGAAAGTGCGATCCTGTCGGGAGACGAGCTCTCTGTTAAAATCCTCTCACAAACTGTCAATTGGCACAGTGCTCGGCTTGCCGGACCAGACTAGATGGCCCCAAACGCCAATATCATCCGTTCATGACGGGTCTCGAAAAGTGAAGTCCAGCTGCCTGGTATCCGAAACGAACGCAAACTACCGTCCCAAACACTCTAGCCTAGCCCCACTCATCGCACCATCCACCTTAACCAAAAAACTGTGGTTCGAGTCCATAGCTTCACCATGTATCAGCCAGTCGGCTGCGGATCTATTTTCGAGCCCGGCAAGGCTGACAAATGTCTTCTCAATGAGTCTCAGTCCCGTCTAGGACCATGTACAATGCTTTGGGCATGCACTTGCGCTGCCACCGCGACACTTCAATGAAATTCTATCACAACTGGTGTCGATCCGTGTTTGAACACGTCTGGAGTGAAAGGTTGCCCGGTCAGCTTTCTTAACCATTGTCTGCATAACCTGGATTTCTGTACAACTTCTTTGCTGACCAAGCAGTCAGCAGAGTGCTTTTGCAAATCAGCGGAAAACTCAGGTGGCAACCAATCTCCCAGAAGTTCAACTATCATACCACTAAGCATGTTGACAACCTGAGAGGGTGGAAAGTGCGCAATGGCGCATTCAAGCTAGCCACAGTTCTATCTGTTTTGGTCTGTTCGGCTGGAAATGAAGTGCTCAATGCGCTGTCTGCTTCGCAGAAAACAACACTGAGGCACAGCAACTGTGTATGGAAGCAGCATGTTCTAACCTGGGAACTTCTGCTGTCAACACCTGCCGCCGCGATCAAGAGCTGGGCCCATTGACCTTCGCGATAAAAACCTCTGCATGCATTGAACTGCAAAACAGCTTCACAGCCTCAGCTCTGAACCAGCTTGACAGGAAAGCAAGGCATTTTGTTCCGACTACTACTACTAAACTGTGTCTTTGCACGTCGCAGCTCAGTACCTTGAAAATGGGCATGTCCAGCTCGCCAACGTCCTGAGAGAGTCTTGGGTCCTGAGATCGTCGCTTGCTCTGGCCCCAGGTCGGGGCCCAAGGCAGAGGACGCCATCTGGTGCAGATACCGAGACATGCCGAGTCGAGCGGCATTCGGCGAGCCCGCTGCGCATGCTCCTGCCAGGCTTCAGGGACGCGAAAATGTCCCGCTAGACAAGTGCGTCTCGAACTCTCTGCGGTCCCGTAGCTGCAAGATCTTCTGGCGTGCCGCTTCTTCCTGAAAAGATGCAGGAACTGCTCCGTTTCGACTGCGGGCTGCAGAACTTACAAGAGAGGCTGCGTGCAACGAATTTTTCGTACACGCTACGTCATCAGTTGCAACGTGAGTGCCAAGCCGGATCGACCTTTCCTCGGGGCTGTCATGTTGGCTGGGAGCCGCTTGTCGGAATCATCCTGTTACATAATGTGTCCGCCCTAGACCACGCTTTGGTAGATTACCTGTGGCCCTTTTGGTACACAACTCGGGGCGACTATCCTGCTCTCAAAGAGCAAGGCACCCGGGCAAGCTCCACAGTTCACATGCAGGCCCTGCTTTTTTCGCCACTGGGACCAAGAGTCCTCGTGCCGCGTGAAACTATGAAGCAGCGACACCAGTGGCACGGCCTTCGCCGATGCTGTCTAAGGAGCTCCATGGAGCAAGCCCTTCCTCAAGGATTTCAGCCACAGCTGCGAGGAAGCCCTCTGAAACTTGCGGCCGCTGAACCAAGAGCTTGCTAAATCAAACTGTTTCGTACATGATGTGCGGTTTCAAAAGACTCCTTTGGCCATGTGCCACAGGTGGCTGACACGAGCAGCCTCTCGGGAAACCTCGCCAAAAAGCCAGCTTCAAAAGTCAGAAAACGAGGTAACAGACCTGAAAACTATTGAGACACAGCATACAGGATTCTGGCTCCTGCCGAAAACACCAGATGGTTGCTGACTACTGTGAAATAGATGCGCAATATTGCAGAATCCTGCCTTGACGGATGCCCAAGACTTTAAACCACTAGAGAAGTTGATTCCACATCACCGTCCGGCCCGCCGATGTCTGCACAACCTCCCTTCGAGGGATCCTCAGAACAAACAGTTCGTGACATTCGCGCACGTATCCGCAAATGCGAAGAACTGGCTTGACAACAAGCGTCTTCAGAGCTGAATGCCGCAAGCAGCGCTGCCTCACTCCTGGACAGCTACAACTGTGCTACAAAAGCTCTTGTGTTGACTCTGGCATCGCTGGATTCTCGGGTGCCTTGGAAAGCCTTTGCCCTCTTTGAAGTCTGCTTGGCAGAAGGTCAGGTAGTGGTGGTCGTTGAGCAGGCAAGTCTGCGACCAACAACCGTCTCTGTCCCTGCTGCAGAAGAGAGTCAGGAGCCTGCTTGATGGTCTTGTGGCGCTTCAGGATCGACCAGGTACAGCCCGACTCCCAGGCGCTCTTCTTGGGGACTTCGCCCGCCGAGCAGTGGCCAGCCTTCGGCAGGCCATACCTCGACCAAGGCGGCGCATCTGCTTTAGTGAGCCCAAGCCTCTCGGACCGGCCGAGGAGCCAGAAACCAATGGAGCTGTCAGCCGAGCACCTCGATTTCGCTAGCCGCTAGGCCTAGTCTGGGGCCTTTGGAGCCTCGAGGCCTCAAGTTCGGCCCCAGCCTGTTTTCTCCATCACCAGCGAAGAAGGGCGCTTCCTTTCCAACCAGACGGGGATCCCCACCGACACACTCCGGACCAGGTGGCACGGTGTCCTGCAGTGACGTTGCAAGAAATGCCTAGCTTATGTGGGAAGCCAGTGTGAGCTGATATCTCACTGAGTTCTGCTCCGGATAGCCATTGCAAAGTGCATACCTTGTTGTTTTCAGACTGTCCAATGTCTCTTCGCGGGTACATAGAAGCGACACCAAGAACAATACCCGCTCCACTGAGGCAAGGCACTGGCCAAATGCTGGCGACATTTGCAGCGTGTAGCGAGAGATCCTTCAGCGCCACGCAGTCTACTAAGCCATGGCATGGCCAATGAGCTGCCCTCATGGTTCCCTTGCAGTCCCTCATAGCAACCTTCTAGAAATTAGATTGTACTCGCAACCTTACAGCACAAATAGGTTATGCAACAATCATGAAGCATACAGAAGCATACAGCCGCCGATTTGCCGCGTGTAGTTGTGGTCGATGAAGGAGCTCTGATTCTGGAGGCAGTCCATGCAAATGAAAAGCGCATCGCCTCGCAAATCCGCCACATTCTGATCCTGTCAAGGCCGGCTCTGGGAATAGATCGCACTTGTCCTTCAACCAGTTTCCATGCAGATGATGCACGTAACGGCGTAGAACCGTCCTCTATGTTGTAGTCAATTGCTGAGATGCCAGGGTGGAAGACGTATGCATCCTCAGCGCAGCCCCAAAGAGCCATGCTTGGCAACTGCAGCATTAAAAGTCGACGGCAAAGCTGGAATTCGACTGACACGGCCTCGCAAAACGCTCGTGCGCTCCAGCGGCAAGACTTCTAATCATTGCTTTCGGTACTCTTCATGGACCCATCCAGGTGGCCACAGTCACCGGCTCCACATCTCGCCCGTTCTCGCACGGCGGGACCAAGCTCTCGCAAATGGAAGGCTTCTCCAGAAGCGTCTGATCGACCTTCCACACCCGAAGCCTTTTGCCGCCCTAAAAAGAATGATGTCTCTCATGCACCAGCTGGCCTGAGAAGTCACTTGGCTGAACTGGTAGCTGGCCAGCATCTTCTTTACCGTTGTGCCTTGGTGGTACATGTCATTTATCGGTCATCGCACCAGTATCCAGCGCTTGCAAGCAAGATGCCACTGGAGTTGTTGATCGAAATCACTAGCTCCACTGGAATATTTCCATCAGCGCACAAGGTCTGGTTTAAGGTCTTGCTCCTGCCAGGTGCAGCCGTCAAAGGGAAGGCAATGCAACACCACAGATTCTCACTACCATCCGCTCTTGTTTGTCGAAAGCCCTACACTGGGAACCAGCACGTTCCGATACGAAGAGATCCATGGAAAAGGTCGGAAGTCAAGCAGAAGGCTCCCGAAACGGAAGCGCCACAGGTCGCAGCTGTGTCCAGCCACGACGTGCGGCCCCACGTATTCCGATAGTGCCGGATTCGCAGCCCAGGCAAACATGTCGTGGAAGCCTGCCGGGATCCACAAGGCTCTGCGAGATTCGGTGGTGATTGCACAGGACTTGGAAACCAGATGCGAGCGAGTGTCGCTGAGTTCCAAACATGGGCAGAACACGGCACATTGGCTGATTGAACCCTGTAAGGTCCCAGGAATGATTGCCTATGCTCCTCGGTTCATTGCCGACTGAAACTGTCCGCCCCTTCTCCAGTGACTCACGCATTCAACTTACTTCCAAGCTCGATGAAATCTCATGCAAAGCGTCAGCATGGTCAAATTGGTGTCCATGCCCTTAATCTTGCCAAGGAAGGGCCGAATGGTTTCCATTCGCATAGCTTTCAAGTCCACAGCCTGCGCAAAGAAGCCGGGGCCTTTTGCGGGATAGCCTGCCAGTCAGCTCGCGGCAGATAATGCAGGCGCATCGGCTCTAAAGACAGCGAATTGAAGCGCCTGAGTCTGTGGACACGAATGTCATTTGTGCCGCAAACCGGTGGGGGACCTGCGGACACGGCGGGGTGCCCAGCACCTGGACCAGGCAGGGGGATAATGTTCGTCAAACTTCGCTATCTCCGCACCCAGTGCATCTCGGTCAGCACAAACCTGCCACCCCTTTGACCCGTGGGGGCGCCTGTTCTGCTGCTCCTGCTGCCGTGGGCTGCAAATTCTGCTCCACCTCCCATACCATCTCCGCCGCCTTCTCGATGGGCATGCGGGCCTCAGAACCGTCACACAGCATGTCAACGCAGCTTCGCAAGAGCAAAATGGTGCGAGGTCCGATCCGCAAACGCCCCCAAGCTTGACAGCAAGCTTGACAACAGTGTTGGCACAAAATTCACAAACGCCGCCGTCGAGCGAAGGAGCCTAAATGCACATCGATCCTCCGCAGAGAAGCGGTGCTTGTTCGACAGCACGGCAGGCATGGAGCGAGCTGTGGGACCGGAATCAAGGCAAGGATAGTTCACTGTTGGACATCACCGGGCCCCTGTTCGAGGCCCAGCAAGGCGGTAACAATGGACTACCAGGACTACCAGTACTGTAGCTGCATGTAGAGTGGGGTCTACACTGTGTTTTTCGTTGTGCAGGACGTCAAGAATCGAGCCATCTGTTCGGCTCCACACGTCTTGGGTCGGTGGCTCCCGCATGGCAGTCCCGGTACGATTCTGCATTCCCCCATGCATTGAGAATCGTTCCGCACTGAAGTGGTGATTCCGCAAAACGTGCCGGCGGAAGTCCAGCTGTAACGAAGGCCGGGTCACATCGTAGCTTGCGTATTGTCCAAGCAGCGCCAAATTCGCCTGTCTGCAAAACGCGCCCCGCATCGGTGCAAGAAAGGGTTTCCTGACCGCCTCGGCCAGGGAAAGCAGGCCGAAGGCCGCACCGAGCCGACCGAGCCGCGGAGCCCGCGGAGCCATGGCTCAGAGGCCCGTTCCCAAGCCTCCCTACGCCTCTATAACTGAAGGTTTGAGCTCTTCGGCCGATAGCCTTCGAGGTTCACTGCAAGCCACGCAGAAGTCGCAGGATAGTCGAAGAACTGGATCACGAGCCTCGTCCTCCCTTCTCTTTAGCTCCAGCTCTTCCTGACTGAAAGAAGTGTGACATGGAAACACAGAAGTAGCAAGCACTGCCGCCTGCTGTCTCTGCTGCTCTTGCCAATGCAGGTACTCCTTTCGCTGGCGCTCCTCCACCTGCGCAGGTAAGTAAGCGAAGAAGGCTTTGAAAGCTTTCCGCTCGAGCTCAGTGGATGCAACCATTCCGCCCTGCCTGGCGAGCCTCAGACTCTAGCTGCCTGCGTTCGGCCTCTCGTCGTCCTGAGATCTCACTGTGATGCCGCACAGTATAACCCACGCACTGGCACTAGGATAAGCACATCAAGCATTGTTCAACGCAAAGCTGCCATGCTCTTTCCGAGTACTTGACAGTAGTAATGATACATCGGCCCCTAATGGCACCTAACTTGTACCATTCAACTGCAACTTGGTGGCGCTCGACAACCTCAGTGGCAGGATAACAGCACGCGAGTCGGAAACTTCCCTCCGTGCTATATTACCCAGTTGCCTTCGTCTCGTGCCTCAGATTCAAGGGCTTCGGAGCTAAGATGGATGTGACTCTACGGCTCGCCAAGCAAGGGTGGACTTGGAGGTTTGTCAGAGGAGGTGCGAACTGTCCAGCCACTCCCAGGCTCGTAGCAGGCTGTCGTTGCTCCAAGGGTCGCTGTCCGCCAGGACATCGGGTCTGGCCTTCCGACCCGAAGCGTCCCCCACACATGCTTGCATGGGTGATCCACCCTCTGACGTCAGGAGCAAAAGGCATGGTCCGAGAATGGGTCTAACAGAACCAAACCCAAGCCTAGCGCTTGTGCTAATAGTCTCTCTCCAACCGTGGTAGATGACTCTCTTTCTTTCGCCAGGGCTGCAGTCTTCTATCTCTCTCGCTCTCGCTCTCTGCTTCCTTCCGTCCTCCCCGCAGAAACAGTCTGACTCTCTCAGCTCAATCTCTCGTTTCCCGAAGGCGTAAGGAGTAGGAGGCAGCCCGGCAGACCCTACTCCCCCCTTGCGGGCTTGGAACGGCTTGGACAAGACCGTCCAAATGTTTCTGTCCGCGCGAAAAAGTCGTGGTGTCATTCGTGGGTGATTGCACTGTTGCGTTCCCAGACTCGAATCTCGAGGTTCATCTCTCAGCTGACGGTGTGGCTCCCTGATCCTACTACGGGAGTAATGCAGCCCCTCGCACCACGAAATATTGACGTCCGGCTTTCCACTTCCAAGAAGGCTCGCGCTTCCAAGCTCGACACCACACGGAAAGCTGCCCGCACTGCTGCACTTTGAAGTGCAGAACCCACAGAATACCAAGATATACAAGAATCGTCGGAAAAGAGGCCTGCTTGGCAGTGTACTTCTGCCCACACTCTCTGCAATCGCCGACCTTGCTTTGAAGGACATGCCGGGCCAGCAAGAGCGATGTCAGCTATGTCACACATATTGCGCATCTGCCAAACAAGGAGTGAGCCGATTCGTCTTCTGCCGGATCATCAAGCAGACTCGGGCAGTCGCCATCCCAAGTAACTGGACCTCGCCGGCCACTTGGCGCAGCGCGCGCATCTACAGCCATCTAGGGTGCTCGTTGCTTGAACCCTCGTCTGCATCGTGCAGACAAGATTCCGTCAAAGGCCCCTCGGTCAGCAAAGAAATGCCCGCTGGCTAAGGCCTTGCCAGGATCCAAAGTGGAGTCTGACAGGCCACCTCGTTCGAAGGCACCGGCTCCAACATGTAGCAGTGTAGCAATATGACAATCAGCACTGCAGCAAATGTTTGAGCCAAGCCACGCGCAGGGCGAAGGCTCAGACAGCAACAAAGGCCTGGCTCGTCACCTTGGCAGCGGCGAGTCATCCACAGCTCCACCTGCACAGGAGGGTCCATTGCGTGAAGCTCACAAGGCTGATGCATTTCATGGCTTTCTGGCTGTGCCTCATCCGCCGCCCTTGCGTGGTCCCAGACGCGGAACTCGGCCAGCTTCCCAGGGAAAGGACCGAGCCTAAAGCCAACAGCTCTGCCGTGCGCTTTCATCGTCCACTGCTGAAGACATGACAGGTCCGAGCCTGAGTTCCGAATCCATGTTAACCGCCCAGATCTCGCTTCCAAACTCCACCTGAGCCCAGAATCGATCGTACCGTGACTGTGGTGACTGGGCGAACTGTTGACCAAGGGCCTGCAAACCATCCTGGAAAAGGCTCACCTCGAAAGGACCAGGGCATTTCGACCATCATGCAGTACCAGGTTTTCGTGGCGTGCCTTGAAGTCGTTGTCACTCGGACTGAAGCTGTAGGAGATGGCTACGTGCATCCACTTCTTTGTCCTTGGCTGCTGCAGGCGTTGCAGGCGCGCGCCCTGCGCGCACGGCTGCCCTTATTCTCCGATCCCAAGTCCTATGGAGCTCCCACGTATTCCCACACCGGGGAGCTGCTGGAGACGCATCCTCGAGGAATAACTGTTTCCACCGGCAAAGTCAAGTTGGAGACCTGTAAGCACGCGCGTTGCGAATCACCCCCTCTGGCAAGCTGCCTGGCCACAATGCCGCACCTCCGCCCGGTTTCACGTACAGGGACCTCGAGTCATCAGTCATCAGGCATGTGTAACAAGAAAGGCGGCGACCGCATGGATTTCAGCCACGTGCGAGATCATGCAAAGAACATAGACGGCTTGTCTCAATGCTGCAACCGTGGTGCGGAAAGCTTCCAACGATTGAAGGGTCGCCAGTCAGCAAGGGGGTTCGAGCTGAAACATCAACCTGGGTTAAAGCACAGCATATGAGAGCCTTCCTAACAGAAAGTGCGATGTAAAACTTGAGGAAAGCAACGTGGCAACGCATCCAGAACTCCACAGTGAAGTCACCTGCCGTTGCTATGCTGACTGCGAAGACACCGTATCTCGAAGTCAAACAGCCATCCCAGCCTTCGAGAAGCCCAAGAGACGAGGCTGGTCCCAAGGATATGGCACCCGCTGTCAAATCAGCAGATCCACCTGGTTGGGGAGCCACCAGATTTGAACAACAGGTTCTTTTCGTCTTGCCCGTTGGCCTTGGCGTTCATCCAGCTCGAAGCCCTTGAGACAGTCCTACAAACTCATGTCGTGGCGTCCGTTTCATGAAGAATCAAACAGACTTGACTTGGCTTGGCCTGGACGTGACGAGATCCAACGGCTATCAGACAGAGCGAACTGACGTCCTCTGCAAGCTTCTGAAGCTCATAGACCTCTTCAGCTTTGCTGAAGTCCTCGACCTCGACAGCCTGTTCAGCGCAAACGGGCTTGACGAATGTTGAGACGCCAAGCGAGACGAGCATAAATGCTTCACTATCAGTGTCACTGCATCGCCTCGGACACTCGCGTTGAGATTGCCTGATGCAGCTCTTTAACCTGAATCAGTCGTGCCCACAGTGCAGTCCTCAGCTCTGCCAGTGCAAGGCCACAAGCACTTTTCCATAACTTTCTGCTGTGCCAGGTTTGCCTCTTTCCAGCCCCTTACTCTGGAGACCGAATACATGCCAAGTAGCTGTTCCCCAGCCCTCAGCCGCAGCACTTGATGCTATTGTACCCACTGCTGGCAGAGACGAAGCTCCAGCTCTCTGGGCATGCGGCAATGTGTCCCGCAGGTTTTTGAGCTGTTTCGCCTTTGTTTTTGATGACTAAAAGGCAACGGGTGCTCGTCGCTTACTTGTGAGGCACAGCCCTGACAGATATCTGCAGCGAGCGTCGTTCTCGAACTTGTACGCCACTGTGGCCTCGGCCATGGCCCTGATTGCACAAACCTGCCAGAAAAGATGCATCCTCCTCACATTACCGCACTTGGAAGCACGGTCTGAGTTTTGGAGGGCCTTGGCTTGAAGCACGTCTGACAGCGGCAGCTCGTGGTCTTTCAGCATGCAACCTTTCTTTTCCGTCAAGGTATGGCTATGGCCATAACAAACCGAAGTCTGTGCGTCTGAACAAGCTCTGGGGCGCTGGCGCTCTAGCTTCGTTCTTACCAAGCTCAAGCCAGTGGCGGTCTCAAAATCCTCGGGGCACAGGCAGATGACTGTCACAGTGCGGGCCATGCATTGAAGCTCGCCGAAGCCAATTCTGCCACTCCTCTCCACTGGCTGTAGACGGCTTGGCTGCGATGACGGGGACCGCCCTCAGTCTCTGATCCTTCTGAAATGTGCGGCACAACTCAAAGCCGAACCTTGCTGCGCGTTCTGAACGTTCTGCTCGCTCGGCACGATCTGCACTTGTACTCCTCGCTCGGCCTGCAAGAGCGATTTCTTGCACCAGGTAGTCAGTTGAGTGGTTGGGAAAGGTTCGGAGCGCGCACCTGAGTTCCGCTTGCCGGCCTTCAAGGCTACAGCTTCTAGAAGCAGCCTAGCAGTTTCGCAAGTCTGCGACAGCGCCTCAGGGGTAGCCGCGCGTTCAAACGAGGCCTGTGCACAAGATGCCAATCTTTTCGCCTACTTCTGTGGCAGGTGGGCAGAGCGGCTAGAAGGTCAGCCTGGGCAGCCTGGACGGGGGTCGTTTCAGACTCAGGTTCCTTCTGTGGCGGGCTTAGCCTCAGGAAGTCGGAGGACGGAGCACGACAAGTACGAAGCGAAGAGATTAAAGAATTACAGAAGTGACAAGCTTCTAGTGCCCAATGAATACTCTGGATGAGTAGCTGCTCCTCGCCCGCCCAGGAATTTATGTTGCCCTGCTCGCCGTCGTAGCCACGTCCCACCTAATCTTCACTTGCTGTCCAGTCGACAACCGAGGGAGCTGGTGCCGACTGCCAGAGTCTTACTGCAAGGCTACGGTGCACGGACTTCGTCGTCCTACTGTACAAGCTTACGGTCTGCTGCTGCGCGGTGCGATGCTTAAAACTTGGAGCCTGAACTCCTGAGACGGAGGCATTTGACACGTCTGGACCCATGTAGTCTTCCTCTTTGCTTGGTGTCGATGCTACCGCATCCTGACAAGTCGAATACCACAGCTCTTGCATGCGGCGAGCCCAAACTCGCCAGGCATACCAATCGCGGGTCGCCGCCTGCACTCGAAGTACGGCTAAGCACGCTTTCACCATGTCTCGCTCCACACCAGAGGAATCGCATTGAGAACTCCACGGCCTTCTTTTGCTTGCGAGGAGCAGCAGGCTGGAAGCCACGACCTCCTCAGTGGAGCCACAACATGCCAGGTGCGACGTTGCAAGGTGGCCAGACGTGGCGCCTCTTTCCGCGCGTTGGCCTGGAGTCCTCCATCGCCTGCCACCCTGCAACACCCAGATCTCGAAAAAAAAACTCGGCTCAAGATAAAACACAATATGAAGCTGCAGCCTGTCATTGCGGTCGAAAGGCCAAGGCCAGGAGGAACGAACAGCTTTGAGCCATGCGATGCATACAATGTTCACCGTCATGCAGAAATGATAGAAATGCCCTGCCACGGCCCCTCCCGGAAAAATCTGCCTGTACTGGCACCCACACTCCCTGGCCACAGTGGGCCTCAGACGCCTCAAAGGTCGCCATGAAGTTCTCCTGCGGTTGGGGCATCCAACAGCCAAGCAAACGAGGCAGATGGCCAAGCGAAAACCTACGCACACCTCACTTTTCTTCACAGCTGCAGGAAACCAGTCTCAAAGGCTTCTATCATCTTGGCCGTCCGCGATTTATGACGTGGCCGCCGCTGCTGTTATCATCTGGCGCGGGGCCCGACAAGCCGCCTCCGCGCTGTGCCTTGGTGTACTGAGCATACATCACATAAAGCATGAAGGCAAAGACTCCCATGCGGATGGCATTGGTGTTGCCGCTGATCCACAGCAGAGCCAGTACTCCTGCTACGATGAGGTAAATCATTGGGACCTCGCGGTCCATCACCTGCACTGTCTTCCCATAGATGCCACAGGCCCGTGCCAGGTCGCCGACTATGACATTCTCCCCGTCACCCACGTCTCCTTGAAAGCTGCCTCCACTCGCCCCTGCTCCTGCACCTGAAGCAGTGCTGGGAGGGTTGGGTGGCGGTGTTGCAGACGCCTTCGCGGTTGGAGGGCGCCGCTGCGTCACGGAAGCCTGTGCCCTGGGGTCGTTGTCTGGCACGATATCCCCATTCGCCAGAATTTTCACCATGATCTAAGAACCGCGCTGGCCAAGCAAGGCCTTGGGCCACTTCTGAAGAAGGAGACGCGGGAGTCAGATGTCAGAAGGTTCTGCTGCGCTCCTGCCCTGTAACTCGTCAGCACAAGGGAACTGCAGGTCCTGAAGTGGATTGTGAACATAATCTGCCTCGCAAAACTCTTGGGGCTGCAGAGACTTTGCAACAAGGACAACGCTGCATGCCTCATTTCCAGACGGCAGGTGGGTCTGTGCCGGGAGCACCTGCAAGACCCTTCTTCCCCTTTCTGCTGGTCGCCTACTATTATTCCTATGTTGCGACTGGCAGCAGCAGCGGCAGCAGCAGTAGCAGCACCAGCACTAGCACTGGCACTGGCACAGTGGTGCGGGGAGGAACCCCTTGCGAGTAACGAAAACCAGTTCAATTCTGCACACCGTAACGGAAACTGGCATTAGTAGAAACAGGAACCGCGCCCCGAGCGTAGCAGAAACTATCCCTGGAAAGCCAGGCAGTGTAAACTAGAGTGCAACTCTTCTGTGGGGGACCAGTTAAAGCCTTATCGTCACGCCTATGTTTCTTTGTTCGGGGCATGGAGAGAGAGAGAGAGAGAGAGAGAGAGAGAGAGAGACACACACCGAGAGACACAGAGAGATAGACAGAGAGAGAGAGAGACAATTTCAATAAGATTCACAGTTGGGGATATAGGTCCAATAGAATGGCAGTGGCAACACGGAGGATTTTAACATGCTGCTACTACTACTACTACTACTACTACCACCTCTACTACTACTTCTACTTCTTCTACTACTACTACTCCTGCTACAGTACTACCACCACTGCTACTACTTAGTGCTAGTCCTATCGCCGGTGCTGGTGCTGGTGCTAGCGCCAGTGCTAAGTGCTTGTGCTACCGCTACCGCTGCTGCGGCTGCTGCTAGCAGCCGCAAGGAATGAAGCAGCAGCAGAAACAACAGCAACAGCGACAGAAACAAGCAACGGCGCACCACCACCGCTGCCACCGCCACCACCATCACCACCAGCCCCATCAGCATGTCTCCGAAACACTACCCCAACTCTACCGCAGTGAACACAGTGCCTGCCAGCGTGGTGGCACGAAATTCTAGATCCAGGCAAGGTGCATACGCCAAGGCGGCAGGAACCGAAGACCACAGAAGCGCTTGTGCCATTGGCTCCTGTTCATGACTTCTGCCAGTTATCGGCGACAGAACCCGCATTTCCCCCGTAGCACAAAGGCTGTTCTCAGCGAGACGATCATGTTGCAGAAACGTGTGTGAACACAGAACTTCCGCTGCAACAACCTGATAACCGGCAATAGACCGTTGGAGAGCGTCCAGTAGAACCGGGCAATGGAAGGTGTCGAGTACCTGACCACAGGCTGAGAGCATCTCAGAGCCAGGCTCCAGGGGGCTGCCTTAGGTTCGCAGACCCACCTGCCGGACGAGGAACAACGACACATGGGGCGCCAAGGTTCGTGCCTTGGCTGCTTTATCATCTTTGGCCGTGTTTCGATGCGCTTCTGTTCGCGGGGCTCCAGCTGCACCACCAACTCGATGGGACGATGAAGTGGTCAATCCGGCCAGCAGAACAGGCCTCAGAGTGCGAATCTCTCGGAAAGCAGGCATCACTGCCAGCAGCAGGGTTGACCAAGCATAGAACAGGATGGCTGCATTAAGCAATCGATCTGCGAGGACCTCGCGAAAACGAGCTGCGTAACCAAGTGACAACCGTCAAGGACAGCCGCAACAAGAGATCTTGCATCCGGACACCTCATTAAGCTCCTCTATACCCAGTTCAAAAACATCGGACAAATAGATTTGGAGGTCCTGCAAAAGTAGGGCATGTCTGCACTGGCAGCTTCAAGGACATCCACTTAAGTCCTGCTGCAGTTCGTTCTCACGCTGTACCTGAGATAGATTGTCCTGCACCGGCACCGGACGAAAACCGAGTGTCATGGTGCTTGTTGCCGCCCACCCCCCCATGTCTCCCCCGAAACCTCTAGCTGACCAAGCGCTTGGCAGCACTCGACTCTCACAAGCCTTTCGGTAAGACCTCGAATCTACTTTCGCCTCTCAGAGTGTTCGAGAGTTGAGCTGTGCTGGACGGCTGCATCACAAGACAACTTGACTCATCCGCAGTGTTTAGTGTGCAGCTGCCACCCAATGAAAGCTAGGAGTGTCTCATTCCTTGGACCAACGTCTGAACGAGGTCCTCGCCAGTCGCTTTTGCAGCGGCGGCATCGAGGCGCAACCTTCGTTTTTGCGTCTGGTCTCCATGGATGCTGGCCCAGACATGCACCAGCCCAAGCACAGGAGCAAACTCGTGCGACACTGAGCGGGGAACCACAGGTCTTGCAAATGATACGCCAGCCTCTGCAGGGCTTGATTCACCGTTCTGGCCCTTGCACATTCCCGCTAAGCATCCGACTGGCTGAAATACGACCTGTCGCGCTGCTTCTTCTCTTCATGACAAGAGCGACTCCACTTACACAACGCCGGTTTCGTACTCTGACTCACCTTATGCTCCTATTTTGAAAGTCTCTGGGCCAACTGCTCCGCTGCATGTCGAAGAACAAATCGGCGCATTGGCTGGTCTTCGATTTTGTAGACCTCGAGCAAAAGGACCCGTGCAAGTCTGAACTTGAGAAGAGCCCACGAAAGCTAGGACAAAAAAAGGAAGCAGAGTCGATAGAGCTCGGGCAGCGTGGATGCAAGCACATGCGCATGCCATGAATATTCTTACCGCAAGATGATAGATAGCGCACTTCTGCTTTATAACGGCGCCAATACAAAGAAAAGTTGTCGCATCGTAGTACCTTGCCCGGCATGTCCCTGCATAAGCGATAACTCGGCCATCTACAGTACGAGCAGCTTCGAACTGTCGTGGTGGCAGCTTCGCTAAGTACTGAGACATCAGAACCTGCTACGGAGACGCACTGGGCCGTAACGACAAAATGCAAGTTGCCATGTTGTTTCAACAGAACTGTCCTGGTGGCACCTTAGCTGTATACTGAGGCATCTGAGGTTTTCCGGGATATCAGTGCGAGTATACTGCGGCATCAGACTTGAAGCCTGCTATGTAGACACACTCCGTCGCATAAAGACAAAATGCGAGTTCCCATGTTGCTGAAAAAGAAAAAATAGATGGACTTAAAGGGGGGGGAGAGGGCGGGGGCCCCGACCTAACCTTGTACCTTGTGGTGGGGCGGGCGGCCCCGTCCTTCTTGCTCTGCATCAAGCATTTGCGTGTTGGCGGGATGCAAGTTTGACCTGGTTCCCCACTACCTGGGTGAATTGTAAACAACCCCCGCAAGCTCCACAAAGAAAGCATTCGTGAAACCTCAACAGCCACCAGAATAGGTGTTGAATAGGCCTGCAAGGTGATTGTCCTGACCGTTGCCCGGACCATGTGATCGCGATGGCCTCAGCAAGAGCAAAACAATGCCTCACTGAGAGCTCAGGCGCCATCCTGCCCCGCCCAGTCCCATCCTCACTTCAAGCACCCGCAGTCGCAATTCCTTTTCGCCCGCTGTCGGTCATGCGTGTCGTCCCAGGCGGTACGCACGGCCCGGCAGACGTGAATCGCGCTGAGTCTTTAAATTTTGAAGCGCATGCTCATATGCAGCGCACAGATCAGGCTGATCCGATCCAAAGCTGAATTGTTTCACGCCAGTGCTGTGAAGGATCTGCATGCGAGCGCATATCGTCTTCGCAGTGCTCTTCACACCAACAAATCATAGGGGCTTGTTCGCTGCTAGGAGCACTATTCTGGAAAAAACTGGAACTGTGAAGCATTCAGGCTAGCCACCCTTCCTCCTACAGAAGGCCCCCTGGTAGTCTTCACATATAGTATATTAACCTCACATGAAAACAGGAGCGAATCTGGTAATGTGAGCCTTGAGCCGTTCGACATCCACGAAATAGAGTCATGGCTTATCGGCTGCTTTGCAACACCTTTTTTTCAAGGCTTACGCATCTCTCATGGCAACTGCATGGGTGTCACATCTGCTCTTGTTTTCTGCCCTAGCCTGCTGCTCGGGTTCGTCAAGGGCCAAGCTCAGGTGCTGCCGAATGCGCTCACATCTGTCAAGCTTGCTGGTTCCACGGATGGCGCTTGTCGAAATTGGGGTGGATCTTGTGAGTGTTCGGCCGGGCTTTCCAATAGCATGTGCGCCTCCACCGAAATGCATCCCACTCACAGTCAGAGCGTCTGCGCTTGTTCTCTGCCAGCCGCGCACACACCTTCCACTTCTTCTTGTAAACTCGGTCGCAGTGAGCCAACAATGTAGACGGGAAGTTCATGCCGGCACGCTTGTCAGGAATGGGAGGAGGAAACTGGTATGCCTCCTCTCCCACGGGGTACTTGTATCCCATGTCCTTGCGTCGCATGTAGTCGTGGCGGTTGAACATTTGCTCTGTTGCGCTGCTCGTGCCCGAGTCGCTGCCGAGTTTGCCGGCACTTGGGGCTGTTGGAATCTCAGCTCTGGGCGCATGAGCAGGAGGTGCGAAACCTTCGGGACTGGAGCCCACCACTGTGAAAGCTGCCTCATACTGGAAAGCGCCACCCATCCATGTGCGCACAGCGAAGGCGGCACATGCGAGCAGCACCAGCAAAGGGGTGGACGCCCCACGCTGCGCAGCCATGTTGCCAGGAACTGGCGGCTACTCCGCGCGATGCTGATATGTGAAAGCAGCGAATGCATGGACAAGAGCATGCTTTAGCATGACAAATAGCAGGAGCAACCGTAGACGAGATGTTGCCACTGAGGCTCCGGGCTGAAGAACTTGGTTGCTTCAATGTAGAGGGGAAAAGACGGCCTTTAAACAATCTCTTCACGGTGCTTCCTGGTGTCGGAGCAGGCTGAACCCTGCATGTGCTCAGCACTCGGCTCGGGGTGCTGGATAAAGAAGAACCTGCCACACAGCAAGCCAGCTGGCTAGGTGGCCACATACGCCATACATCGCATGTTGTCAGGCGGTGGCTTTATGGATTCGTT